GCTGAGGCAGGAGAATTACTTGAGCCCAGGAGTTTGAGGTTGCAGTAAGCTATGGTTGCACCAATCACTGCACTCCAGACTGGACAACAGAGAGGAACCCTGTCTCTAAAAAGTAAAAATAAAAATAAAAATAAAATATTGTCCCTGAGGAAGCTGATTTTTTGAAAATCGGGAATTTCTTCGTTTTCTCCTCATAAAGATAGAATTATGTTTCCTCTGGTGAACATTGCCTGATAAAGCCAAATTCAGGTCACACAGTAAGCAAAAGGACTCTCATGCTTGTAGTAAAACTTAGAAATCCTTGAATTTCTGGGAGATGATGGTTGAAGGGAACTAAGCAGAATATTTGAAATGAAGATTTGTGGCAAGCACGATAATGTCCATAACCTAATCACTGGAACCTGCTTATAGGTGGCAAGGGGGAATTAAGGCTGCAAATCAAATAACCTTAACATAGAGAGATTATCCTGGAGTATCCAGGTGGGCCCATTGGAATCACAAGGGTCCTTAAAAGAGCCTGGCTGGGCACACTGGCTCACATCTGTAATCCCAGCAATTTGGGAGGCCGAAGTGGGAGGACTGCTTGAGCCCAAGAGTTCGAGAACAGCCTGGGCGACGTAATGAGACTTCATCTGTGATTTAAAAATGCTTTTAACGTGTATATAAAAAATAAAATAGCCTGAAGAGGATGTGACAAGAGAAGGAAGGCACCGAAGGGATGCAGGTTGGTGACGCTGAAGCTGGAGGAAGGGAACTGAGGCAGGGAGTGTGTGTGACCTCCAGATGCTGGAGAGGACAAAGAGACAGATTCTACCCTGGAGTCTCCATAAGGAATGCAAGGCAGGGAGTGCATGTGACCCCCAGTCACCGGAGAGGGCAAAGAGACAGATTCTACCCCAGAGCCTCCACAAGGAATGCAACCTTCTTCCAGAGCTGTAAGATAACAAATGTGTTGAAGCTGCTAAATTTGTGGTGCTTTGTTACAGCAGCAATAGGAAACTCATACAAGATTTTCCTAGAAATCAGAACACACACAGTAGCTGTGCCTTTTGCAAATCCCTTTGGCCTAAAATAACTTTTATTGCTTCCTTCTGGGAGCCTGGAAGTCTTTGATGGTGGAAGGATGGAGGAAACAGAGGATGGGCTCAGCATGTAACGTGAGAACTGGGAGAGAGGGAGAAACAAAATAAAAACTCGTTCTGTGTAGACAGCCGTTGGGGCGGTGAAACTCACGTTCTAACGCAGGTTATCTTTCTCGAGTCAGTGGATCTAACAAAAAGCAATTTATTAGAATTTTTCAATGTTTTCTTTGTTCATCTTCACATCAATATCTTATGTTTTGTAAGGAATTGTGCCCCACAGGTTGCAGCTTTTATAATCTGCAAATTTTAAAACTTCTCTAAACAAAATGTGGGTGTCTAGTAATGATAAGAGATAATATAATGTGCAAGTCAACTTTTGTGGTCCAATGGCAATTTTTGAAAAATCTAAATATAACCGTACCAATACACCTGTAAACTGAGATCGATTTTTTCCATTATGCCTAACTCCTTTAATTAAAAATAGTCTAGACGCTCTTCTCTTTGTGACTGCCACCAGAGGGCACTATAACCTTGGTAGCCGATCAAGGGGTGACCATTAAACCCTTCCCAGTCAGATATAATTTTTTGAGAAAGCAACACTCTGCTGGTTGGTTCCGTGTTTTTGCTGTTGTGAATAATGCTGCAAAACACATGCGTGTGCAAAATGTACCTAACCCTCATTTGTACCCCCCATTTTAAAAATAAAATAAAACAATTAAAAATTATTTAAAAAGAGAAAGCAACACTGCAAGGCAGAAAATGAACACCAGTGGTATATTTCAAAATGTTTGTCATGTCATTTTACTAGATATATTTCTTCTTATTTTTATTTATATCTTACAAGTCAACCCCAAAAACATAAAGCAGGAGAAATGAGCCATGCCTCGTTTTCCAGGTGAGTCAAAGGGGTAGTTGACACAGAAATGGAAACACAGTAAAATTTAAGGTATCATTTTTCACATGAACATTTTGCCCCCAAACACCATGCAGTGCTAAAAAGTCACATCCCCATCATGCAAGAACATTGAAATATATGGTGGTAGAACATCCTGGGTTTCAGTATAGGGTGTTTAATGTTACCATGGGGCATGCTTCCCCTTTGGGCTACGTCAAGAAATATAACACAGAGCAGCTAAATCTCACAAGAGAAATGTAAAAGCATCTTGTTCATGTAGAAGCCATTTGCAATGTTTTTTTACGTGGTACTGGAGTCATATGGGAAAGAGCAAAGTTGTGCAGAAGACACAAGGAAGTTGCTTCCTGTCTCAGAACACAGAAAAACGTCTGTCTGCTCAGTATTTCGTTCAAGGAGATGGGTGGTTTTCTGTGAGGGGTGGAATTGCTCCCGCTCCCCAGTCCATTTCATGTGAGCAGCACAAACCTAGTTTCAGGGCTTTTGTTTTTAACTATGCATTATGAAGCCCTATGCAAGGCAGTCACCTCCCAGTTCGAGGACTTTATTTCTCTTTGGATGGGAAGTATACAAAAAATTGGAATGAATAAATTGGGAAGTCCCAATCCAATATCATATTCTATAAGACTGAAGAAAAAAATATATCCTAAAACTTCATTTAGATAGGAAAGCTTTTCCATATAAAGTGAATTTTGGATAAACACCTGTTGTACCTAAATGACTCATTAAATCATCTGTATGGCTATATCAAAATGTTGTCTTCCTTACAAAGAGATATGTGCCCATGAATTTAAATATGGCTTAAATTTTATATAGCACCTCTCTTCAAAAGATTTAAAAATATTTTTTTCTTTTAATCTGTTTCATCTCTGTGACATCGTTTGTGATTTGAAGGCTAGCTGGGGAAATTATCATAATTACATGAGAAGAAATTGAGACAGGAAGGTCAAGGGACTGATCCATAATCACTAAATTGAGTCTTTAACATCTGACAGCACATGCCTTAAAAGGAAAGCAAAACAAACACTCTCAGTCTCTTTAAATATGCCTCTTTCATCCCAGGATCTCACAGCAACCTCACAAATAAAGTATAATGTGCAAAAGGAAAGTCAGGGAGCACAGTGTGATCAGGTTAAACCCCAGCCCTCAGACAGCACGCCAGTATTCTCGGCAGGACAGTTAGGAAGAGACTGCTCAGGGAATGGAGGCCCCTTCGGGTTTCAAAAGGGAAATTTAGCCCAGAAGCCACAAGGGCTGCCTGTAGTACACACTTTAAGTCGAACTGCTTGGCTCTAGGGCTCTGCTCTAACACCAACTTGGGGGATGGGGGAGCGGAGGAGCAGGTTGAGAGTCCTGAGACTCCAGCTCAAGTTCGGGCTTCACCACTTGGGGCTCTAGGCCAGGCACTTCACTGTAATGATCTACAGTCATCTCACATAGACCATGGGGTGGCAGAGGAGGTGAGGGAGGAATGCTGGAACACATCAATTTGCAAACTACAAAGTACTGTGTAAATATAAGGCATGGTTTCCCATTGAAATCTGACTCCAAACACAGTCTCTTTTCATAGGCTTCCTGGAGTCTTTGTAATCCCATACTTCAGGATTCTTTCTAGGCCTTTGATCCTACTCTGAGCTTTGAGCTGTTGTGGCAAAGCTAAGACTTCCTAAAAGCAACAGATGCCCTTCAAATGCGGGACTGGCCATCGGACCCAGCGTGGAATTGCAGTGTATCAACCGGTGAGGGCATCTCATCAAGCTCCTGTTTGGGCCTCCAGGCTAACGATGGAGAGAAGTGGTCCTCTCCACAGGGGTCCTCTCCGCATCCTAATCCTTAACAGGTGCCACAGGTTTGGACCTGTTGTGCTCACAGATTCTCCATTCCCTTCCTGAGTAGCCGTGGTTCTGTGTTGTTCCACAGCCCACAGACCTGATGGCTATGGGACCGGACATAAGAGACTTCTCTCAGACATCACAGAACTGCCCCAAAGCCATTTTAGAGATGACCTAGTCCTAAGCAATAACTGGAGGTAATCCAGTGGTCCCAATATCCTTTGGACTAGATAAGTGACTTGAGGTCAAGAGAGGGAGTCCCACATCCTCCTGCACTGGGTGTCATGGAGAGTGTCACCCACTCTTCATCTCATTCTTCTCTATGCCCTCACCCTCTTCTTAGTGGCCACAGCCAAGATAGAGAAAACATGGAAGCATCCCCTACTTTCTCAAACAACCTGGCCCAGAGGAAAAGCATTTACAGGGAAAACACAATGAGCAGGCGACTGGGGAACAGACGGGCAGGTGCAAAATTGTATGGTTCAGTTTCACTTTCCCTTTGGACAGTTCCCCAAAGTAAGCTCTACCTAGCAAGGCAGACACTTCTGGACTTTCTTGAAACGTCTTTGAAAAATAACTTTAAGGCTTGGTTAAGTAACCTCATAGATGTTTTTGGCCTTTACATTGGAATAGTACTAAAGGGGTTGACAATAAAAGGTCAGTTGAGTACATCTTCATGAGAAGCAAGACTGACTCAAAGCTTCTGGAGCTCTTCAATTTAGAAAATACTATTTGGAAGTCCATAGGTTTGTGTTGCAAACAAACAAAAAAAGTGGGAGAGCACTCTGTGTCACACTGTTATTTCTACCATTATTTCTCTTTCCTTCAATGTTGTTTACATTGCAATCCTAAACCGTCAACCTTCTAATAGCTGCTAATTGCAGAAAGAGTCAATGATCATTTCCAGGTCAGGTACAGTGAGTGGCTCACACCTATAATCCCAGCACTTTGGGAAGCAGGGACAGAAGGATCGTTTGAGCCTAAGAGTTTGAGTTTGAGACCAGCCTAGACAACATAGTGAGACATTGTCGCTACAAAAAAAAATCAAAAAGTTATCCAGGAATGATGGCGTATGCCTGTAGTCCCAGCTACTTGAGAGGCTGACACAGGAGGATCGCTTGAGCCCAGGAGGTTGAGGTTGCAGTGAGCCACGATTGCCTGGTCAACAGTGAGAACCTGGCTCAAAAAATAAAATAAAAATGTTAAATGGCCTTACATTAAAAAAAAAAAACAAAGATAATTTCCAGAGTCAGGAAGTTAAAGAATTGGCCTCTCAAACCGGAGCAACAGGGTCCAATCTGAGAACCTGAAATGTTAGTCTCTCAGGTCTCTGCAGGTCAGGTTCCTCTTCCGTGAGTCCACCTAGGTGTAGGAATACCTAATTGCTTGCTGGGCCAAACTGACTGACATGGCCTCTTATCTTAGAGAAGCTTCTAGTACCACAACTTGCTTCTTGGTTTTTGTTTGTTTGTTTAAATTTCTTAATGGCAAGATTGTTTTGTGTTTACAGAGTGCTAAGTCTTCTTAGGAAAGCCTGGAGAAATATTGAGCAACTATTTCCCTTTAGTTTGTGGATACAATTCAGTGGATTATTTCCATTTGAATGTCAAGTCACACTTTGAAAGGACGTGTGTGTGTGTGTGTGTGTGTGTGTGTATGTGTGTGTGTGTGTGTGTGTGTGTGTGTGAACGATTTGTGAGGGGCAGGTGAGCCAAAATGGGTTCTTGTTGGGTTGTGGTTATTCTGATGATAAGAAATATTCATGGTGATTAGTAAGAAAAGACTTTCATATTATTTATCTGTGTGTTGTCTTTACCAACAACCCCAGATTTCTATTAATCTTTAGTCAACAGATTACATTAGTTGTGTTGCATTTGGTCTAAGATTTATAGGCATAAATGACATGAAGTTTAAAATTTAATTAATAGGAAGAATAACCTAAAATGAAAGTCCTTTTCTGTTTAAAAGAGTGCCAAGAGATAGAGAAATTTAAGAGCACAAAGGGGAGAGGAAGGGAAAGAAAATTGAAAAAAATATAAATGCATGCCCTTACTTTTTTCCTCACAAGATTTCCTGAGCATTCCTCAAACATTATAGTGCAACATAACTCCAATGAATCAACCGTATTCTTATTTTTCTCAAGCAAAAAGTATATACGTCAAGTATATATTGAGTACAACATATAATAGTATACCATCTTTTAAAACACTAATAATTTGAACTTCTATAAATATATTTAAATAACAAACATATTATAGATAGCTATTCACATAGCACACAAAGTGACACATAAACATACAAAAATAAAACAACTATGTTTTAACTCTTCTGTTTTTTGTTTGTTTTGGGGTTTCTCTTGAGTGAGGATATTAAAACAATATCATCTTGTTGCCAAAATCACCTTGTTGATATTGATCCCAGGAAACCTAGGTATAAACTCATACTGTGTGTAGGCACCACAGCCCAGGACAAAAGCAGCAAATATTCTTTGCCGGACTTATGACCATTCCCTACCATTGTGTGAAAAAACTAGGAAGGAATAGAGATCTCAACTGACGAGATAGTTTCGTTAGCTGTTGAGAGGAAAAGAAACATTCATCAGACTCCCTAACCTGGGTCAAGTGTGACAATACCAAGCTGCCCTTTGAGTGAGTGGAATAGAGAACACGTCTCCTCCATGGACTCTCTCACACACCATCGTCTACAAAGTATTTTTCAACAAGTGCAAAAGGCACCACCGTTTCATACCAAAGGCGAGGAATTTTTATTCTTGTTCTGCAATAATCACGTTCACGTTTGTCCTACTCCAATTCCTGCTGTGGAAAACATTCCTCCACTCAAAAAAAAAAAAGATAAAACTGTTTTGGGGAAACGCAGCTGCCCAACCAGGTGGAATATCTATATTTTTCTTTCGGAAAACAGAATGTTTCTATGAATAATTGTCCCTGGTAAAATTTGACTTTTGTCCATAGAATTTTCTTGAGAGCAAGGAACAGAAGATACATTTCTCACATCCCACCTAGAGCCTAGCATCACCATGAGCTCCCAGTAGAGACACAAAAAATGTTTGTTCAGCTGAACTCAATCATTCCAATCTCCACAGATGCGTTTCAACTGGAATGAGAAGTCCTGCTGTATTTGGTGATTGTCTTCATCTAAGGTGCATCTTCTGAGGGGCAGCTGACGCTTGAGGGATTGGGTTTCAGTTTTCCTTTTAAGGAAACATGTAAGCTCTTGCAACATCTTGAAGAGTTGCTTGTGGCAAACTTGAAGAGGAGAGAATCCTGGCTTTTTCTCAAATAGAATTTTCAACACAGGCAGAGGAAGGTGGTTTCTTGAGTTCCTGGGAGGTGTCTTCAGGGGCAGGTGTGGCCCGCTGTTGCTGATAAATTTCCTGAATCAGGATGGTGTTCATGACCTTCCACTCTCTGTATTTCCTGGCTGTTAGCTTTGGATCATCCAGTAACTGGTTAATCATGGCCAGATCACGTTCTTTGCACTGTCCAGGTAGAAAAACAGGAGGGAAGGGAGGGATACTGTATCTTAATCTTAATAAACCATCTTGATCAGTTCCTTTCCAAATACACATGTACATTATCAGAACATTTTTGCACTTTGATATTCTAATCCCTACACCAAGTCTAAGAAATATGACAGAATATTCTCTTTACATACAGTAGCCACAACGAAGTAGCCTACCCAAAAGTTAGTGGAAGAACCAGACATAAAGACAAGGTCTTTTACAATGCTCTTCCCTGTTCAGCCCCGTTATTCTTTACCACAGTAATGACTAGCTTCATGTAAGGATTAGTCCTCTAATACTCATAATTGTATATACTGGCATTTCACAGACCATCCAAACTATACTAAGTAAAACTGGAAGATAACACTTTACCTAAGACATAAAGTATCATAAAATATATCTTTTAAAAATTTTCACATATCAAATTATCTTAATTTATTTTCTAACAAATCACATTTATTTAACTAATATATAGAGAATTAGTCAGGCATGGTGGTTCACGTCTGTAATCCCAGCACTTTGGGATTGCTTGAGGCCAAGATTTTGAGATCAGCCTAGGCAAAGAGTAAGACCCTGTCTACACACACACACACACACACACACACACACAAATTATATATATATATATATAATAATAACTTTTATATTATATATATAATTTCCATGTATATATGGAGAAAGAGAGCAAGAGACTAATACCCAGGTTACCTTTTTAGTCAGAGACTATTAACCTTCCATGAAAACAGTATGTATTCGAATAGTACTAACAATCTATTGGCACTATTCCACCCTGCCTCCTCTGAAACCAATGATGCACATTTCTCAAATATCTGGCTCGGGTTAGAGTTTTCTGTAATTAAGGAGTGGAGTAAAAATAAGATACATCATCCTCTACATTAAAAAAAGCTTATTTTCCAGTTTGGGGCTCAGGGAAGGCTTTCTGGGTAACATAAGGCTGAAGTAAATATAGATGTATGAGTTATTAAAAAAAATGGGTAAAGAAAGATTGGAAAGTGTTTTGTATGAAAAGAAACTCTAGAAATTAGTTTTTTTATCAGGTGAAGAAAGGCAAGGAAGATTCTCTGAGTGGCACAACAGAGAATATTGTCAGCCCTGACGACATTTCTCAAATCTATGCCTGCTCTCCTTATCCCTATGACCAAGATCCTACTTGGATATATAGCTCAATATATCATGCCACAGCCCCTAAGCAAGATCCCTGCCTCCCAGGCCCACAAGAAGGTGCAGGGATTCATCGAAATGCTCAGTCCACCGCATGGCTCCCCTCGTGCCAAGGCTCCTCCCATGCATTGGTGCCGTTTGCATTGGTACTCTCCTTCCTTCTTACTTTCCAGTCTAAGGTCTTGACATGCGTTTTCTCACCCACACAACACTAATTCACACCTCTGTGATGCTGTGCCACCCACAGAATCTTCCTTGCCTTTCTTCACCTGATAAACTCGAATTTCTAGAGTTTGTTTCCCACAAAACACTTTCCAATCTTTCTTTCCCCATTTTTCTATATCTCATGCATCTATACTCACTTCAGCCTTGCGATATCCAGAAAGCCTTCTCTGAACCCCAAAACTTGAATAAGAAGCTTTTTAGTTTGATGTTCTAATGTTTTCCAAGGCTGAGAGCCCTCTGAGAACGTACTGGGTATCTTTAGGTGTTTATGGATCAGTCATGCCACCTACTCTAAAGCTTAAGAAGGTGCTAAGAAACATATTCTTCATCCCTGTATTCCCTGCACCTAACACAATGCCAAGTGCATGCAGATATTCCATCCATGTTTATTATTAAACCAATCTCTCTGACTACCTCTAGGACAGCACATAAGTAGCTAAAACTTCACAAGCACTGCCATTACGTGGACTTCTTCCCTAACTTCCTCCTCCATCCTCACACACAGCTGATGACCTTGCTCTCTATTTTGCGGGGAGAAGGAAAACCATCAGAAAAGAGCTTCTCCCAAGTTCCTACTGCCTGTTCACTACATTGGCATAAATAAGCTCTGCCTTCCCTCCTGGTCACACAGAAGAAATATATGTACTACTAGCAAAGGCCAGTCTCTCTGCTCGGGCATAACAACCCCAGCTCTCCTACTCAAGAAATTCCCCCCAGCAATTCTCTTCTCTCCTGTGACTCATCAGTTTCCTGCCCTTTTTTTTTTTTTTCAGTTGAATTCTCACTCTGTCACCCAGGCTGGAATGCAGTGTCACACTGATCAGGTCCACCACAGCCTCGACCTGCTGGGTTCAGCCTATCCTTCCACATCAGCCTTCCAGGTAGCTGGAACCACAGGCATGTACCACCACACTCGGCTAATTTTTTGACTTATTGTAGAGGCAAGGTCTTGCCATGTTGCTTAGGCTGGTCTCAAAGCCCGGAGCTCAGGCAATCCTCTCACCTCCACTTCCCAAAGTGCTGGGATTACAGACTTGAACCATCAGACCCAGTCAATTTCTCCCATCTTAAAAGTCCTCTCTTACCCCAATCCATTTCAACTAATGCTCCACTTTTCTCTTTGTCTCCAATGGTCCCTGCACCCATTCTTTTATAGATTCACTTCTACCAAGCTTTTGCCCCCATCATTCACCGAAACTGCTCTTGTGAAGGCCAACAGTGACCTCCATGTTGCTAAATCCAATGATCAATCATTCATCTTCAGTTTATCAACAGCTCCTAAAACTGTTGGCTACTCCCCCTTCTTGAACATTTTCATCAGGTTGCTTTTGTGACACCTGATCCTGATTTTTTTCTCATGCCACAATGACCTTTACACTGTCTTCTTTGCTAGTTCTGTCTTCTTTGCTCCTCATCCCATCTCTTCACTCTGGAGCAGAGGTCCTCAAACTTTTAAAACAGGGGGCCAGTTCACTGTCCCTCAGACCGTTGGAGGGGTGGACTATAGTTTTTAAAAAAAAAGGAATTTGTTCATAGTTTTTTTTTAAAAACTATAGTCCGCCCCTCCAACGGTCTGAGGAACAGTGAACTGGCCCCCTGTTTTAAAAGCTTGAGGACTCCTGCTCTGGAGTGTCCTAGAACCTTAGCCTTCATCCCATTCTCTGCTCTGTCTACATTCATGCTCTTGGCCATCACATGTCATCTTTCCCACTCTCCCTACATGCTGGCAGTCCCAAATTTATACCTCCTCTTACCTCTCCCCTGCACTCCACATATATTTGTCCAAACTTCCTCTTCAGCAGCTTCAGATATACACCCAAGGGGCATCATAAATACACCATGTCCAAAAAAAAGTTCTTATTCTTTACATCTCCCCATCCCTACTTCATCAATATACTCCAAATCCTGCTCTAAGAAAGTCTTCTGCAAAGCACCTAGTGGTAACTCCATCTTTCCAGTTATTCAGGGCAGACATGGGAGCCATCCTTGACTTCTTCTCTCACACCCAATACACCAGCAATTCCTGGCATCTGTACCTTCAAAATAAGTTAAACCATGCCACTCCTCTGTTCAGAACCTTCCCAAGGTTTCTTGTCTCGCTCTGAGCAGAATCTGGTGTCTACGACGTTAGCAAGACCTTCAATGACATGACTCCCTGTTGCCCCTGCAGCCCTCTCTGCTCTTTCTGTCCCCCACCCCCACTCCATTCCATCCACATGGACCTCCCTGCTCTTCCTTAAACACATTTGGCACAGTCCCACCCCAAGATGTTTGCATTTTTGTTCCTTTTGCCTAAAATATTCTGTCTCTGATCATCTCAAGGCTCATCCCTTTCCTTTTTCAGATTTTACCTAAATTCCAAGGCATTTCATGTCTTTCACAGTTAAAAATCAATTCCTCACAATTCCTGCTCCCTTTCTTTTCGGCTCTCTATCAAATCTATCATCACTTATTATAGAATCACATTGAATAATGAATTATGTTTGTCTATTCCCCAATTGAAATATAAGCTTCATGAGGGCAGGCCTTTTTGCCTGGTATGCCTACTTGTATAGCTCTGAGAGCCTGGAAGAATGACTGACATGTAGATGTTCACTAAATATTTGCTGAAAAAATGAATATGTGAAATAAGAAGCAAGTCATAGTGCCTCACACCTATAATCCCAGCACTTTGGGAGGCTGAGGCAGAAGTTCGAGTGAGACCTTGTTTCTACAAAAAATAAAATAAATAAATAACTGGGCATGGTGGCACTCGCCTGCAGTCCCAGCTACTCATCAGGCGGGTGGAAGGATTGCCTAAACCCAGGAGGTTGAGGCTGTGGTGAGCTGTGTTTATGTTACTGCACTCTAGCCTGAGCCACAGAGTGAGATCTTGGCATGGTGTAGAGCACTTGTAATCCCAGCTACTCGAGAGGTCAAGTGGCAGAATTGTTTGAGTTCGAAGCTTCAGTGAGCTATGATCACACCACTGCATTTCAGCCTGGGTGACAGAGCAAGACCTCATATCTCTAAAAAAAATAAATAAAATAAAATCATGAAATGAGGATTGAATGAATGAATGCTTTTTAATCTCTTGCATTAGGACCCCTGCTTAGAGGCTGAGAAAGTTTCCTCCATAAACAAACCACATAGACAAAGATAGATAATAGATGATAGACAGGTAAGTAGATAGATGGAGGTAGATAGATAGACAGACAGACAGATGGAGAAACATAGGAAGCCTTCCTTCCAGAAAGGAGAAAGAAATAGTGCAGTAGGAAAGTAACAAAAGCAGGATGGGACAAATAAGCAGGCAGTCCAGGACCCAGAAGCAGAAGAAAGGAAGGTCAAGTGGGTAAGTAAAAGGATTGTTTATAGGAATTCAGGCAAGACCAAAAGAATTCTTTTTCTTCTCTCTGAATCATCAATATCTATGCTTCAAAAAATATCTTTTCCACACACACACAAAAAAATAAGCTTTCATCCTCTGATATCACCATAGTGCTATTAATATAAAGTTATTTAAGGAGTTTTACTTTTTTCCAAAGAAACTTAGACATCTGCTTCAGAGAAAGATTCTAATATTTTATTTTAAAAAAACTAAAAAAGATCTTTAAAGACTAACAATAATTGGGGACATTGATTTTTAAAAGGCAAAACTGAATTCACCACTTCTTTAAATCTGATAAATGTTTTCAGAAAAGGGTCTTTTCAACTTTGGGCATTAGACTAACACTTCTCATATGATTTTTGGCTCTGAACACTTCAAATTTCTTACCATTTGGCTTGAATCTGTGTTTGTTCTTTTATAGTTAAAAGAAAAAACTGTAGACAAGACTACAGCAGAAGAAAATTAATGGAACACCAGGATCTTTTGAGCTCCTTCCTAGGGCAGGTCCCTGAGGCTCAAAGACTCATGCAATGGTCCTGCTTCTCCTGGGTGACACAGGAGGTTCATGGGAAGCTCTAAACTACTTTTACGACATCCGCTTTGCTTTCTGGCAAGCAAGTAAGGCTTAGCAGGGGTTCCAAAAATATCGTGAGAGAATACTGTACTTTCAATTTTTACTCCAGAGAGTCAGAAGACGGCTAGACTCAGGACTTAAGCACAGAAATGTGTTCTACCAGAGTAGTTATAGGGATGGGAAAGCTCATTCCTCTCTTGACATAGGCCAGAGTAACTGGGTTTCAGCTGGATCCATTAATCATTCCACTAATCATTTATTTTTAATAAAGACAGGTTTAGCCAAAAGTCAGTGAATGTTGAGCTGTTAGAAATTCCACCACCTGTTCTTTTGTTACTGAGTGAGATAACCTTGTTGAATAAACACCTTCATCTCCCCAAATCCCACAAAAAAAGGAAAGAAATTCCTAAAGGTCTACATTTAATGTATGGCAATAATATAATCAACTTTTGTTCAAGTTCAACTTGAAGAGCATTCATTCCAATATAATTTTAGTATAGGAATTTTTCTTGATTTATGGAATGTGCCTATCACTAATATAAACATTTTTTTTAAAACAACTTCTGCATGAAACGCTGTTGTATTTCCTTGTCCTCCTGCTTTAAAGTTTTTTTAAATAAGAATTTTTGTTGCAATATATCAGGATAGTAAAACCCCTGATTCTTTACACAAACCTGGACTCCCAGTAGCCAGGTCAGCGAAGGTCTGGAATCCTGAGTCTGTAGCTCTACCAAAGGCCTGAGGCCACAGTCTCTCTCCTTCTACAAATGACCTGAACTGCCCATGCTCTCTTCGGTCTCTACTTCCTGTCTCTCCTAACACGGATTGCAACGTATCATCCACTGTAGACATTCCACTTCCTTGAATGGCCTTCCCTTCTCTTCCTACCGTTATCTCTTTCTTACTCATGGGCTTCATGACATTATCCTTAATGTTCCTAGTACTTTCCCCCTCTGGGCTGCCAAAGCACCCTGAGCATGTACTAACCACAGTCATTATCACATTCCATTTTGAATGCAACAAAGTTCACAAATAGAAAATGTTGTGCTTGAAGAATTATCACAAAATGAATACAACCACGTAACTACCACCAAAGTCCAAGAAGGACCCATACCCAACACTCAGACGCTCCACCTGTGCCCTCTCCTGGTTTCATCCTCTCCTCTTCCTCAAAGGCAACCGCTCTCTACACTGCTTTGAGTTATAAAAACAATTAACAGGCTGGGCTTGGTGGCTCAGCATGTAATCCCAGCACTTTGGGAGGCTGAGGCGAATGGATTGCCTGAGCCCGTGGGTTCGAGACCAGCCCAGGCAACTTACCGAGACCTCATCTCTACAATAAAATCAAAAAACTTAGTCGGGTGTGGTAGTGTGTGCCTGTAGTTCTGGCTACTTGGAAGGCTGAGGCGAAAGGATCACCAGAGCCCAACAGGTTGACCCTGGGGTGACTGTAAGTGTGCCACTGCACTCCAGCTTGGGTGATAGAGTGAGACTCCGACAAAAAAAAACTCAATTAACAATAACTTTTATAGCCTTTGGATAAATAAACACACATGTACCAAGTTATCTTTCCTCATTGAATAGGTTAATGTACTTTGCTTTTGTTTTGTTTCTTCAATGAAGCCAGTTTCCACATCAACATGTCCTCCTACTTCCTGAGGTCACTATTAACAGGACCACATGACATGAGTCTTGCTACATTTCATCAGCCCCCAGCACTACAGTTTTGGGAGGCCAAAGGAGTCTATGGAAAGGGCTGCTTCCCATAAATGTACAGACAGAGTAGTTCTCCAGCTGAGTATGGTAGGCATCTCCAAGCAAGCTCCCGATGTTTCCTACGACCTGTTTTCAAGACTTCAGGTAATCCCCCTCCCCGAAATAGGCTGGGCTAATATGTTGCTTCTACTAAACAGAATACTGCAAAAATCATGTGATGCCACTATTGCAACTGGGTTGTAACCCATTTTGATCTCTTGCTCTTGCTGCCTTGCTTGCTCTAAGGAAAGCCAGCTTTGTAGTTGTAAGCTGCCTTGTGAAAAAGCCCATGTGGCAAGAAACTGAGGGTGGTCTCTAGCCAACAGCCAGTGAGCAACTGAGACCTCCAGGTCAACAATCTGCTAGTAACCACATGCAAGCGCTTCGAAGCAAATCCCTTTCAGTGGCGGAACGCAAGCAGCCCCAGCTGACAGCTTGATCATAGTTTTTGCGAGACCTAGAGGCAGAAACTTTTGACCAAGCCATGCCCAGATTCCTGACCACAGAAAGGCTGAAATAATAAATGTTTATTTGTTGAAGTTGCTAAGTTTTGGGATAATTTGTTAACTATCACTGGTTAACTAATACACTGGAAGAAAAATAAAAGCAGCTGACTCCCTCAAGTACATGATCCATAGCACACAAAGAACAAGAGGCCACAGAGAACCAGAGAGGACAATAAAACTTTTGATCCTTTCCACAAACCTGAGCTCCCAGTAGCCAGGTCAGTGAAGGTCTAGAATCCTGGGTTTACTGTTCTACCAAAGGCTTGAGGCCTCAGTCTGTCTCTTCCTGTAAATGACTCAAACTGCCCATGCTCTCCTTGGTCTCTACTTCTGGTCTCTCCCAACACGGATTGCAACATATCATCCACTGATAGACATTCCACTTCCTTGCATGGCCTTCTCTTCTCTTCCTGCCATTCTTCATCTCTTTCTTTCTCATGAGCTTCATAACATGATCCCTAATGCTCTCAGTCAGTCACTTTCCCCCTCTGGGCTGCCAAAGCACCCTGAGCATGTACCAACCACAGTCATTATCACACTGTATTTTAACTATGGGTTTGTTTTCCTCTCTTTCCGTTGCCCAGTGGAGTCCACTCAATGGTCCCAGCAACCTAGAACAGTGTCTGGTACAAAGTAAGATTCAGGAAGTATCTGCTCAGTGAAAAATGTCCTCACTTATATCAGCTATCACAAATAAATAGAAAAGTAAACTCCCAACAAACTATGGCATATTAAGTTGAATGACCAAATATATTTATCAACTCTATATGTATTGTGGATTGAATGTTAGTGATGTCTTCCATCATTAAATATGAGGGACTCTATCTGTATTTGGATTTTTCTTTGTATAATTAAAATATACTTCTCCCTTTCCTGTACAGCCTTTTGGGGTGTTCCTGTCTTCTACTGACTGGGACATCTGACTAAGAGCCACTCAGCCTGTTTTTATAGCCTTGTCCTTTTGCTGACATTTTCTCCTGGAAGTGGACTCAAATTCACAATGCAAAAGGCCATATACTAAACAGAATTAAATAGCAGGATCTATCAAAGCTTTTCGGGATCTATAAATCTTCTGCTAATTCAGGACTAGTTTACAAAGCATCCTGGCCTCCTCTTGTTCAAGCCATAATCTAAATGTGAAAGCAGGGTGCTTTTGTTACAAAGAATCATTTTAGTTAAGGGAGACCCTGAGCATAGCTTCAGCACATCCTGTACTCTGTCCCTTACTCTCATTGTGAAAACATCTGCTGGCTTATTACCATAAAGTGTATCCTTCCCACTACTGGGTTCTCATGGTGTTCCTTGGCTGCAGTGCCTACCACTCTCAGTCCCTAAGTCTCTGCCACATCTGAAATCAGGACGTTTTCTTCTGGATGCAGTACAGAAGAATGGTACCCTTGGATGAAATAGATGAGAACCCAAGATCTTATTTATACTATTGTTTATTCTCACCAGTTGATCTCTGTCTGTAATCAACATTTACTGTGCCAGGTCCTATGATAGGTACAAGAGTTACAAAAACAAACTACACATGGCCTTTGCCATCCAGGGGCTTAAAATTTGAAATTTGATATTAGAGTGAATGTAAAAATCAAGGCCTATTGAGAAAATTGTTTTTCGTGCCTCTGTGTGACTGTCCTAGTGCTTTAAGAATGTCAAAGTCATCTCAACCTATAAAGAATATATTTACTTTTACTGCCCTCTCCTGCACCCACACAAACACACTGTGATTAGCATGAATCTCTGTAGAACCAGTCATTCTTTGCCCCATATCTATAGAGTTCACCCACAGTCTGAAATTCTGTTACCTTTAATGTGCTGTTCAAGGTTCGGATTTTGTGGAGTTTCTCATTTATGGACGGATTTTTGCACCGCTTAACAAAGGACTTTCTCAACTCCTTTTTGGTTGAAGGTCGTCGGTCTCCAAGAGGAGATAGACTAGCTTGCTCTAATGATTTGAAGAGTTTCTCCATTTCATCTTCAGACGCTTTTGTTTCTTCTATTAAAAAAATGAAGCAATAACTATAAACCAAGTTAAAATCAAGTAAAGAACATTAGATAGTAGTCCTAAAGCATGTTCCTGCTAACATCTTGATCTCAGACTTCTAGCCTCCAGAACATGAGACAATAAATATTCGTTGGCTGAGCCATTCAATTTGGGTTATTTTGTTACTGTAGAGCCATGCTCCCATTGACGGCATCAGGGAAGTAGCAGTTCCAGCCTTCTCTCCTAGCTTTTTGTGGTCCCTTGGTTTGTGGTAGCAAAACTCCAGTATTCACACAGAATCCCCCCTATGTCCATGCTTTCGTGCCCAAACTTCTTCTTTTTATAAGGATATCAACCATATTAGATTAGAAGCCCACCTCAATGCCCTCATCTTAGCTAGTTAAATCTGAAAAAACTATATTTCCCAATAAAGTCACACTCTGGGAAGTATTGAAGGTTAGAATTTCTACATAGGAATTTTGGGGGGACACAATTGAAAGCATAACAGTTCATCTTCCCCCTCCCCAAAATTTGTCTTTCTCACACACAAAATGCATTCACCTCATCCCAACATCTCCAAAAGTATTAATCCATTTATTATACATCAACCCATAACATCAACTCTAAGGCCAAGTCTCATCCATTTACCATCTAAATCAGGTATTGGAGAGACTAGAGTAGTGACTCACCTTGAGGCAAAAGTCTTCTCCATCTTGGAATCTGTGAAACTTGATAAATATTTGCTTCTAAAATACAACAGTGAGATAGGCAAACCCTAGCAAACCAATACATACCCTGAAGTTTGAGAACCACTGCCCTAGATGACTGCTTACTGTCCTTCCCAAAACAACCCTTTGAGAGAAGAAACCTGTCTATGGTTTACAGCAGAGAGTGATCATTCCTCATCTCGCCACACAGACTCTATTCTCCTTCCAAACCAGTCTCAGGTCACATGAGTCTAGTGAAGCGACTAAGCCACATGATTCAGCAGGGACCACATGTGCCAGACTAAGCCAATAGCAGTCCACCATTCTGGCCACAGCCATTGATTCTGAAATAAGCGTGTGTCTCAGGTGAGGCCAATTGGGGCCAGGAAGACTCAGTTCCAAGACTTTGGTTTGGAGTATCGGAGCAGCAATCTCTCTTTTTCTTACACCAAATGTGATGTTGTGTGCTGGAAGCTTCCAAAAATTATCCCAAGAATAATGATAATGGAGCTAATCAAGTCTGAGACATAGATCTTGATGGTATGATTGGAGCCTTCTCAGCCTACAGAAGCCAATGCTAAGCTTCTCTGGGTGAGGTTTTCAATCATACGCACCTAAAAAGGCCTCAAATGATAAAGAGGTTATCCCCCCAAAAAAATCATCTCTTGATTTTACTTTAAGTCCTCACTAAGAATTTCAACCTGTTATTCCTTAATTCTCTGAGAATAATCTTGGGAAAGACACACAATGAGATTTTTTTCCACGATGTATTCTTTAATGTTTACATCTTTCATTTCCTGTCCTGAGAACAAGCTCGAGAGAGGACCCTATAAAAAGCATGACATTACGAGGAAACAAAAAACAGCCTCTTCAAAGAGGAGAGAAAAGCATATAGTTGTAATTTAGAAGCATCAAAATCAAACAAACTTCACTTACTTTAGAGTTTACTTCTCTAAGATTAGAAATCTTTAAGCAAGAATTAGTTTCCCCCATCCATCCCAGAAAGTCACCACAAGTATTCCCAATACCCTTTCATAAAATGGAGAACAAAAGATGTTGCACTAATTTTGTGACTCACTTAAAGTGTTGGTCTTTGTTCTCTACCAAACTGTCTCAAAAAAGGAGGGGGATACCAAAAACTACATTTGAAGACCATTCAAACTTTTTGGCTCAGGCTTTGTGCAGACATCAAAAGTGAGCTTTTGTCAATAAGTACATGAAAGATGCTCAATATAATCAGTCACTAGAAAAATGCAAATCGAAACCACAAAGAGATACCACTTTATACCCACTAGGACAGCTAAAATTAAAAAGACAGACAGGGCAGGGCTTGGTGGCACAGCCTGTAATCCTAGCACTTTGGGAGGTCGAGATGAGTAGATTTCCTGAGCCCGTGGGTTCAAGACCAGCCCAAGCAGCTTGGTGAGACCTTGGCTCTATAATAAAAACAAAAATAAAAAAAATTTAGCCAGGCTTGGTAGCATGTCCCTGTAGTTCTGGCTATTTGGAAGGCTAAGGCGGAAAAATCACTGGAGCCCAGCAGGTCGACGCTGGGGTGGCTATGAATGTGTCACTGCACTCCAGTCTGGGTGACTGAGTGATACTCCAACTCAAAAAAAAGACAATAATAAGTGTGGATGAGAATTTGGAAAACTGGAACCTTCATATATTGCTGCTGAGAATGTAAAATAGAATCATTACTTTGCAAAATAGTTTGGGAGTTCTTCAAAATGTTAAACATACAGTTATCATGTGATCTAGCAATTCTGCTCTTAGACATATACTCAAGAGAATTGAAAACATATATTCACACAAAAAGTGTACATGAATGGTCATAGCAGCATTATTCATAACAGGAAAAAGGTGGGAAGCACCTAAATGTTTATCAACTGATGAATGGATAAATAAAAGCTGGCATATCCATACAAGGGGAATATTATTCAGTAAGGAAAAGGAAGAAGTACTAAATCGCCCACAATGCTACAATGTGGATGGATGAACCCTGAGAATACTCTGCTTAGTAAAAGAAAGTCACAGAAAACCACACATTGCATGATTCCATTTATATAAAATGTCCAGATACGGTAAAACCACAAGAAAGAAGTACTAAATCGCCCACAATGCTACAATGTGGATGGATGAACCCTGAGAATACTCTGCTTAGTAAAAGAAAGTCACAGAAAACCACACATTGCATGATTCCATTTATATAAAATGTCCAGATTCGGCAAAACCACAGAGACAGAAAGTAGAATGATAACTGCCTGGGGTTGGGTCGGGGGGGGCGGGGGGGAAACAACAGGAATGGGAATGACAGCTAATGTGTAGGGGTTTCTTTTAGCCAAAATTCTCTCAAATTGGATTTTTGTGACAGTTGCACAATTATTTGAATATACTAAAAACCACTGAACTGTACACTCTTACGTGTTAACTTTATTATATGCGAAATATATTTCAATGAAGCTTAAAAAAGGAGGCGTTTATGAGATTGTTATGAGAGCTGATGATAAACAGCAGAAATACTAAGGATGGCAACAGTCCTAGGGTTAACCTGGAGACATTAGAAAAGCTTAAGAAAATTAAGTGGAAAAACTGACTCTTTAAGGGGACATTAGGATTGAGTACCCTGGGAGTTTTCATACACACAAGGGAACAGTGATTTTACATGTCTTCGTATTTTTTTTTCCACAATTAGCCAAGTAGTACCCTGCTTTGAATAAAACCTAAATACATAGCTTTCAATACCATAGTATTTTTAAGTTAAGTAATATATATTTAATAAACTTCAAGATGCAAACCAAACAGGTGTATGACAAAGACAAACAGAACAACTTCTTTAAATTTCTCTGTGTTCGCCAAGCAGGTTGATTGTGCCACTAAGGATTGTACCAGAAAATTACTTTTGACTAATGCATTTAGTTTGTTATTATGTCAAGGTAAAAATTATTATATTAAGATTACAAATCTGAGTCAATAGATATTATACCTGGAAAGACAAAAATAATTTCAGAATCTTGAAATTGCATGGCTTAGAGTGTATTCCCTAAATGAACAATAAATAGAGCCCCCTTTTTGAATAATTTTATTACTATTAGATATGCTGATATGAAAATATGTTATCTTTATGCTAAAAATATCAGAGGCTATGTTTCTCCTTTCTCCAATTTCTTTCCCTAACTTAAACTTTGGGGTGTGTGTGTGTGTGTGTGTGTGTGTGTGTGTGTGTGTGTGTGTCACTTGATCCTCAAAAAAATAATTAAATTTTCCAAGACCTGCCTGGGCAACTTGGCGAGACCTCATCTCTACAATAAATCAAAAATTAGCCGAGCGTGGTAGCACGTGCTTGTAGTTTCAGCTACTAGGAAGGCTGAGGCGGAAGGATCGCCGGAGCCCAGCAGGTCGAGGCTGCGGTGGCCGGGAGCGGCCACTGCACTCCAGTCTGGGCAACAGAGTGAGACTCCAACTCAAAAAAATAAAAATAAAAATAATTAAATTTTAAAATGAACAAAGAGTGAACCTGCTGAGGTTCACTTACTGAAAGTCAATACAGAATTCACCTAAAATTCACATATGATATCCAGAAAATGAACATTCTTTGTTAGAATTTATCCAAAAACAAGATAATAAGGGGCAAGTATGCTCAGATAAGATTACAACTGTTGCGGAAATGAGAAAAAAATGAAAGACAAATGACCACTTAAGTTCCTGCCTCTCAATCTTCCTGCAGAAGAAAACTGAAGTCGAAAGACTAGATGTCTGACCTCTAATAACCTGACTCCAGAATTACCCACACACATAAGGTCAATACTATAATAAATGGTGGTGTTCAGAGTCAAGAAAATACCCTTATTGCCTGTTTTGTGTGTCATAACCTGAAAGATATACAATATATTACTAAATACTCAGAGGACACACCTGTGATCCAACCAAGTCCATGACCTAGTCAGGGGCATTATATTGCTTTTACTGTTGCTAATGGTTGATGCGAATATCCTTGCAGAGCTGTAAAATGAACATCCGTTAATAATGGAAGCAGGTGATGAGTAGGATCATAGGACAAAAAAACGACCCAAAGAATGTGAGCACATAACAGAACAAGCGTGAGACTCCTGCCCAATTGCTATACTGATACTAGCATGGGCTTGGTGGGCTTGTTGACCCTTCCCGCCTACCCTTGAGCCTCCAAAGATTTTTCAATAAAGTAAAATTTTTTTTAATCTCCCTTTTATTTTTTATGTAAATATTTTTAAAAATCACAATTTCATATTAGAAAGCACTCGTTTATATCACTTGTTTTACCAGATC